ATTGAATTACATTTGAATACCACTGTCGGATCATTTCTTCATTTTGCTGATGTAAAATCTCGAAGTCCGCAATATGCTTCAAAAGAAATAGAATTCCCGAAACTCCAGTCACTTCGGTAAGCACAACTTCAACACTGCACAAGTACCCAAGCTCTACGCTTCAACGCGAAGAAGAGTTGGTAGTATTTGCGGGTGCTTGGAAAGTAATCAGATCACTCAACCAACTGACAAAATCGTCTTCATTGGTAGGATCTCCAGTGACTTTGAGTACGCGCAACAAAACACGATATGTTCCGTTGGGAACAATTGTGCCATTAGCGAAAACGTTGACGAACGCCATAGCATTGAAACCAGTCCCATCCTAAGTAGATGTCAAAAAACACCTCTCGTCAATAAGTGTAACACTTAAGACTTCAAACACTTACGTCGACGTCAGAGTTTCGTGGAATGAAATCGAGCTCGAATAGTGGACCTAATGTCTTCACTTGTGCAAACGTTCCTCCTCCATTCGATCCCTCTGGAAAAGTGAATGTTTCCCTTTCAAAAACATGTTTGTCGTTTGCTAGAATGCTCCTTTTCGTCGCTGATCTAGGTATGGTGGTAGTAATGTTGATATCAGGATCAACTAAATCAAGTCTAAATTCCGGAGTACCGAAATCGAGTCTCGAAATGAGGAAAGGATTATCACCATTTACAAAAGTGAAATTCGACGGTCCTGAGATGAATGTACCATCAGGAGCACCTAAAGCAGGAAGATCGACTCCAAAGAAGGTATCTGTATTATCCACAACTTGAACGTTCTTCAAGGCTGATGCCACTCCGAGGTAGGTTATATGAAAACTTTCCGATGTCGTGTTGTCTGTGTTCGTGATCTGAATGAAACCGGAAATGATAGGAAGAAGACTGGAGTCGATTCCTTTCGGTTGACTGAAGTGAGCAGTGAGTTCCTGAATTTGACCTGGTCGAACGGTGAACGTGGTTTCGCTGAATGTGACACCGGCAGAGGCGTTAGAGAAAGGAGGACTATCAGCAAATAAAGCTGTCCCCTGTAGAATGAAGATCATCAGAGAAGTAGTGAGCAGGTTGGACTATCACACGTACGGGTTGCAATGACAACAACGTCCCAGCGGGAACATGACTTAGTTTGAATGACTTATTCGAGGTTCCCGTATTCTTAACGGTGAATGTTTGTCTGGTCATTGTGATGTAAGAAGCTAAGAGCACGGGGGCAGAAGAAGAGGCTTACAATGGTTTGAAGTTTGAAGTATCGTTCAACAGGAATTCTCCAGGAGAAACAATGATGTCCGTATGTATAGCTGTGAATGCATCCACCAAACCAGCGCCTTGGAGAGCGGCACTCTGCAAAGGACCAGAATCGGTATGATCTGAAGCCAACATCTGAGCAGTGGTTTCAATGAGGTCCCTTGCACCAAGGCCAACTGCAGCACTATTCCCTTTAACTCCAAAGATCAATGCGGATACTCCGGCAATGAAAGGTGTGGCCATTGAAGTTCCAGATTCGACGCCAAAGCTCCCGAGAGGAACAGGAAGAGTGGAGAGAATGTTACCTCCCGGAGCAGCAATCGAAGGCTTGAAAAACATGTCATTGGTTGGACCAACTGACGTGAATGACGAGATGAGACCTCCAGATACATCAGGGAATTGGAATGAGCCTCCCACTTGAGGGAAAGTGACTGTGATATTTGCCCCTTGAGCAAACTCATTGACGAGCTTGACATGGGAATGGTAAGATAGTAGACGAACAATCGAGATAATGAGACAAACGGCAGATACATACGAATACTCCATCTTGTTGTTGAATGAGGGTGGCAGAAAAATTGCCTACATCGATAGCAGTAAAGCCGGTACCATTACTGCAGCAAGATTAGGTTTCAACAAAATTTGGAAAATAATCACTCTCTGCACTTACTCGTAGATGATTGAGACGTTTCCGCCTTTCGCAGCAACATTGGTCAACTTTTGAACCTGTGAATATGATGTTCAGTTGCCATGAATACTACCATTTTGGAAATACTTACGAAAGTGCAAGTTCCTCTCTTGACAATTACCAGGAAGTTGCTGAGGTCAGGTGTATTATCCGGGAGCGGATCGCAAGCATCATCCACAACCGTAGTATCAGTACTGGTGGCAAAAATTGGGAGAGTGCGATTCTCGGGGAATGGAAATGTACTGAAGTATGTGATGGGATCATGTTGTACACCTTGGACAGTGAGATTCTGTAATGGGATGACGGTATTATCCGTCGAAGCAACTGAGATGCTGTTGATAGCATTTCCGGGAGACGAAGTGAAGAATGATCCCTTGCCTCCATCGTTACCTATGACGCCGGTAAAGAGGGAACGTGTATGGAAAGTCAAGTACTGTATGATACGAACCTGCAGCGATGGTGACAATCTTTCCGGAGGCAGAAATCCTACTCGAGACGACTGCAGCAGAGCTCTCTGTCCATCCATCGGAGCCACCAATGGACATTGTCAAGATGTCCTGCCCTTCGGAGACACCACGTAACAATGCTTCTACAAGGACTAAGACAACGTGAGGTCGTCATTCAAATGAGGATAGATCAAAATGGAATGCACGCACTATCATCGGTTGTTGAACCTGTGCATCCGAATACACGATACGACGTCAGCGAAGCACCAAAAGCAACACCACTGATATTGAATTCATTTCCTGGGTTGGCACCTATGATTCCCTGTAAAGTGGACTATCAAGGAGATTCTTAGATGATGCACTAGTCGGAAACGCACTGCTACATGGGTTCCGTGTCCATTGCATTGATCAAGTGGATCGTTATCTGGTACAGGGGTGTTGCTACCTGTCCGAAAGAAAAAACGACATGAGTATCCGAGTTCCAGATTTTACTACGAACTTGATTTACCTGTAAAGTTATCTCCTACAAAATCAAACCCGCCTATGATCTTGTGCCCTGGGCCGATTCCACCTCCGAGGACAGGATGTGTGTAATCAATACCGGTGTCAATACTGCGAAAGGCACCGGTTGAGCAACGTCGAGATGTAGAGCAGTAGAGTAAAAACGCACACGCCAATTTTAACGCCAGTACCAATGATATTCTGAGCATGAAGCTTGTCTACTCCCTGCAAAACCTCTTTATCAGTCAACCAAATGTGATTTGAAATCATAAACGTACCGTTAGGATATGGGTAGACTCGGTATCAGGCGGAAGTTCTGGATCATCGAAACCAGTGACGACGTGAATCTTTACAGGCCTAAGGATAAGATGTCTGATTCAGCATCCATGTAGACAGATCCGACGTTGAGAACCTACTTCGGGATCGAGACACTGATTACTGGACGAACGGCTTTGACACCAGGTATAGCAGCAATCTGCTTCCTATCCTATACTATTCATGAGTATTTACGCGCTTGGGAATAATTTACTACTCACGGTGGGATTCTGCAAAAAAATAATAACTTCTATGAATATTTCGACGGAAACGGTTTCCGTTATCTCAACTTACATCGAGAGTGATAGATGCTCCAATGAAAAACTGCTGGTTATTAAACTCTTTCTTGACTGTAAATCCAATCTTGCGTTTCCTGAAATGAGAGTAGAGATTCTTATGAACCTATGGAAAGACTTCATGAATAACGCAATCGTACGGCGAGAACATGGCGCTACGTACGTCACGAGAGGAGAAATCCCTCTTGCTTGGGATATCATTCAAATTCTCCACTTCCACGATAAACTGGTTGGGTATAGCATTGCCAGGTTGGTGTTCTGTTCCATTCCAACTGTTGGGAGGAAAAGTAGATCCTAGAGTAGAAGTAATCCAGAGCAATATGTTCAAGAGAGCTGGCCACGTGAGTGAGGCCTTCATCTCTTGTAGAGCCTGAAAGTATCAGAAGACCAGAAAATTGCTGAGGGTTGTTCGATGCAGAACTTGAGCCATGTTTCCATCGTACTTTTAAGTCGGATTGTTTATAGGAACGACCAAAAATACTCCAGGGGTACATCCTTCTACCAGTTGTTGTGTGACAGAAAAACAGCAAAGGCTGATAATAGCTGGTCATCTAGAAGGAAATGATGAGCATGTGGACGTGCGAGTGATGCTGTATTTCCGACGAGAATACAATCACATCTATAATTGTTGATTCAACCGTGCAGCGAGTATCGAGCAGGTTCTTTCGTTCCGGGATCTCTCCATTGAAGGGGAGAAGGACCTCGCGTGAATTGTTGCAGTTGGATGCAAATATTGCGATTGATAAGATGGGACTTTGTAGAACGTATTCATCGGTATTGCCGAGCCCATGAGAATCCTGTTGGACTTGTGGTGCTCGTACAAGTGCAATCGACACGAACACTCGAATTTATTGGTTACAATTGCGAAAATCTTAGGGGGTACGTTATTGATATGCATAATTGATGTTATTGAAGTAAAACTCACTTGACTACTCATACTAGTGTGACGGTCGCAGTCTGAAAAAACTAGAAATGCCTACACAATATATAGTAGTATTTGAGCTCGAGCTTGGGTCTTCTATCAAGAGATGAAAAAGTGAAGAACCGACTACACGAAAGAATGGGTTCGACTTCACTGGCAATGATATGATTCAATTAGTGAGAGGTCCACCAGAGATAGCCAGCCTGAGAATCCGAGAGATTCCTCCGAAAAGGAGCACGTGATACCCTACCCAATGATGTAATCACATTCATACCAATAATATTCACCAAACAGTAAGTACACACAGTCAACTAATTTCTAGTCTATTGCCTCGTAGGAGGAGGAGAGAAAAAATAATGACCACCGCAGGGGTCGAACCTGCAATCTCCTGATTCGTAGTCAGACGCGATGCCATTTCGCCAGGCGGCCATGTATTAAGCTACGGAGTGACAAATATTCGAAACGATTACCAGGAATTTGAGAAGCAAAAAACCGCCCATCTTCAACTTCAAGCTTCAAAGTCCTTGTAGGCTTGCCATCACACTCCAATGCAGTGTGAAAAAACAGTCCACCTCCCTGGCGGGGAGTCGAACCCCGCTTTCGCGCGTAGAAAGCATCGATTCTTGACAGGCGCGTGTACTAGCCGATATACTACCAGGGACATGTTGTAATCGTATTAGGGGAAAGCCATTTAATCTACATAACCGAGGCAAACTATACTAGGTCTTTCTGCCTGTGTTCACCAATTTTGAAGTGTGTGGCCAATCTCGTCGCGATGGTGGTGAGTGATTCCTAGACGTCCCAGACGCGCGCTCTTTTGCCGATGTAACAATCTCATCCCTACGCATGACCCGAAAGCTTGAACACCCACGCAAGTAAGTATGTCGGTCAGTGGAAGCCAATGGACAAGTGTTCCAGAATTTATAATTTACTAGATACATAGATAAACATAGCCCATTAGATCTTAGACTACAGAACTTGTGGCATTTGTTGGTGCATGGAAGTCAATGGTATCGCTTAACCAACTAACGAAGTCATCCTCATTTGTAGGGTCCCCGGTAACTTTGAGTACACGCAACAAGACACGGTAAGTCCCATTGGGCACAGTCGTTCCATTTGCAAAGATATTTGAAATGGCCGTAGCACTGTAGCCAGTCCCATCCTGTAGATATTGGTCAGTCGTCGGAATGTCATGGTCAAAGGATTGGGTAACTCACATTGACATCTGAGTTTCTCGGGACGAAGTTATACTCGAATAATGACCCCAACGTCTGAACTTGAGCAAACGAGCCTCCCTTGGACTTTGAATCTTTCGGAAATGTGAAAGTTTCCCTCTCGAAAACACGCCTTCCATCTACACCTCTCTTTGTCGGAATGGTTGGAGTTAAGGTGACGTTAGAGTCTACCAGATCGAGCCTGAACTCGGGTGATCCAAAGTCCAAACGAGAGATCAGATAAGGAATGTCATTTCCTACGAATGTGAAATTGGAAGGTCCGGAGATGAAGGTGCCATCAGGAGCACCGAGAGCTGGGAGGTTGACACCAAAGAATGTATCAGTATTGTCCACGATTTGAACATTCTTCAATGGAGCTCCAGCTCCGATGTAGGAAACGTGATAACTTTCCGCAGTGGTGTTATCAGTATTCGTGATCTCAATAAAGCCGGAGAAAATGGGGAGGACCCTTTGGTCTATTCCAGGTGGGATAGTGAAATTGGCAGTGAGCATTTGAGTTTGGCCCACTTGGACAGTGAAAGAGGATTCGCTGAATGTCACATCCATAGAAATGTTGGAAAAAGGAGGATTATCAGCAAATAAAGCGGTACCCTATAGACAAATCAGGATGTGTCGCAAAAATACGAACTGAGCACAGAACTCACAGGTTGTAATGACAATAGAGTTCCCGCTGGAACATGAGTGAGTCTGAAAGACTTGATTGATGTTCCAGTGTTTTTGACACTGAACGTATGTCTAATGAAAAAATAATCACATTAGTCATGCAATAGAGACGACATCGAGGGAAGACATACGACGAGTTGAAGTTAGCTGTATCATTCAACAATATCTCTCCAGGGGAGACAATAACGTCCGCATGTACAGCAGCGAACGCATTGACCAACCCGGCACCTTGCACAGCAGCACTCTGCAAAGGTCCAGAATCTGAATGATCTGAGGCTAACATTTGTGCCGTCGTTTCTAACAAATCTCTAGCACCTGTTCCGACGACTGTATTGTTTCCTTTAACTCCAAAAAGTAACGCAGATACACCAGCAATGAATGGAGTAGCCATGGAAGTACCCGATTCGACACCGAAACTTCCCATAGTAACTGGGAGTGTCGAGAGGATATTCCCTCCCGGAGCTGCTACGGCTGGTTTGAAGAACATGTCGTTGGTTGGGCCAAAGGAAGAGTATGTAGACATAAGACCTCCGGCTGGGTCGGGGAATTGATAAGATGCCCCTACTTGGGGGAACGAGATCGTCACGTTGATACCTCGAGCGAACTGGTTAACTAGCTGTATAAAGAAGAGAACGAGTCAGAGACAACCTTATAAATGTGTTAATTTGCATTTTGACTCACGAAGATACCATCTTGCTGTTGAATGAGAGTCGCAGTGAAGTTCCCGACTTGAACAGCGGTGAATCCTGAACCGTCGCTGAAAGAAAACATCAGGTGAGTCCCATGAAAGATAGTAGTTCCTCTCAACTCACTCATAGATTAGCGAATACTGAGCGCCCTTTGCGGCAATATTAGTCAACTTCTGAGTCTGTTGAGGATAATTATGATTAGTTCGTAATCACTGATAACAGGTGTGAAGCTCCGAGTCTTACCAGAGTGCAATTCCCTCTCTTTACAACGACCAAGAAACTACTAAGGTCCGGGGTACCATCGGGTAGGAAATCACACGCGTCGTCTAAGACGTTTGTATCGTTGCTGGTCGCATAAATTGGTAGGGTACTATTGGTTGGGAACGGGAATGTGCTGTAGTAGGTGATAGGGTCATGCTGGACACCATGAACGGTGAGATTCTGCAGAGGAACGACAGTGTTGTCACTTGAGGCGACCGAAATACTGTCGATGGCATTGGCGGGAGATGAAGTGAAGAAAGTTCCTTTCCCTCCATCGTTACCTGATAATGCCAGATATGAGTGAGAACGTGCTATGATATGACTGCAAGTATGACACCTACCTGCCGCCATGGTCACAACCTTTCCTGAGGCTGATATCCTACTAGCAACAACTGCTGAAGAACTTTCCGTCCATCCGTCGGATCCTCCGATGGACAACGTCAAAACTTCTTGACCATCAGAGACACCACGTAGCAATGCTTCAATGAGGACTGGGGACAGGACAACCGCATTAATGCTCCCATTGAGAAGATAGTTGGGCTTCAAGGGACTCACTATCATCTGTCGTCCCACCTGCACATCCGAATACTCGATAAGAAGTCAGCGATGCCCCATAAGCAACACCACTGATATTGAACTCGTTTCCTGGGTTAGCACCTATGATTCCCTATAGAATTTGTGATGATATCAGAACTCGGAGAACTGATCAGACAAAATATTCAACGAAACATACCGCAACGTGAGTTCCATGTCCGTTGCATTGGTCCAGTGGATCGTCATCCGGGACAGGTGTATTGGTACCTGAAAGGAGTTGGTGTGTTCGCAGATTACGAAGATTCACTTGAATAAAAGATATGTTTACCATCGTAATTGTCTCCGACAAAATCGTAACCACCAATAATCTTATAACCAGGACCGATACCCCCACCAAGAACAGGGTGGGTATAATCAACGCCTGTATCGATGCTAGAGTAAAATGAATTGAGCAAGATTGATCACGTTATGAATATTAGAATGGAGTCCTACATTCCAATTTTTACGCCTGTACCGGTGATATTTTGTGCGTGGAGCTTGTCCACACCCTGGGAAATATGTAGTCAGTATAATACACCACAAAGGTCAGAAAAAATGAGCACACCGTTAAGATGTGAGTAGATTCAATGTCTGGGGGAAGTTCTGGGTCATCAATGCCAGTGACAACATGAGTTTTCACAGGTCTAGAGAAATACTATCAGTAAATCAACGGCATTAGGTGTAAGTAACACTAAGTTTACTTCGGAATAGATAGGCTGATGACAGGTCGGACTGCCTTGACTCCGGGTATAGAAGCGATCTGCTGTCTATCCTGTACCTTGTTTCAGTGTTTTCTTCAAAAGAGTAGATGTCATCGGGCGCATACAGCAGGATTCTGTGCGACAAATGTTAAGCTTCACATTACACGATTGAGTGTATAACGACGTACATCGAGAGCGATGGAGGCACCAACAAAGTATTGTTTGTTGTTGAATTCCTTCTTGACAGTGAAACCGACTTTGCGCTTTTTCAAATGAGCGTATAAAGTCTCGTGTGCCTATAGTTGAACAGGTCAGAAATGCATACGAGAAAGTGTGAAAGAGCAACACAACCTCACGAGAATATATTTCATCCCTCTTGCTTGGGATGTCATCGACGTCTTGGACTTCTACGATGAACTGATTGGGAACAGCATTGCCGAGCTGACGTTCGAAACCACCCTTCCAGTTGTGAGATGGAAAAATGGACGCGACAGTAGAGGCTACTAAGGAGACAGTGAAGAGAATCCACCAAGCCGAAGTCTTCATGATTGTTTGGGGTGAAAGCAGAGAATGCAGTCTGTCAGTCAAGTAGACCATCGTCATCCGCCTTTATATCCACATTTTCCTAGTCTTGAGACTATGAGAAACTGCTATGAATGAGTGAAAAATATGGCGAAATGTTCTTCGAGCAACTTGGTTGATTCGCTTTGGAGCTCTCAGTGCAGCTCACACGACAGATGACCAGAGACCGGTTTCAACGAAGAGTCGAAGTTGGCCAAGTATGTATGCGAGTGGAGATGTATTTCCGGTCACCAACCAGCTGAATATAGGATTGGAGTAAGAGACACAGCAATGTTCGTGATTCGACCGTGTAACGAAGAAGACATGTGTTCCTTGTTTCCGGGATCTCTCCGCTTGAGAGCAGAGATACTTCTGCTAGCGAGACGACACGTCGTCGGGTCTCAATTTAGAGAAAATGTCATGTCATAAGATGTTATACATTCAACACCCCATATTTCTGTGCAGCGGATGAAGTCCGAAATATAAGAATAAGTCAGCGTAGCCCCACTTTTGTCCTTCGAAGAATCGATTAATTCACCTTAGTTTTTCAGCAGTTTATTAAGGAACTTGCTCATCAAATATACATATTTGCAACACAGTCCTTGTGATTCGCGGCATTATTGTAGAAGGTAAGCGACAAGTCAAACATTGGAGCGTCAGAAAAAAAGTTTTGAGTCCAAAGGGAGTTGAGCTCAAGGGCCGCGTAGTCACTCAGAATACTGTGTCACAATAGGTGTCACTTCGTGACTGTATGCGTGACATATGTATCACGTAGTAGCATGTCTACATCCGTCGATTGAAATAATTTTACACTGGAATACATACATGAAGATATGTTATTTACCCAAATCATGAAGTTCCTCTTCATGTAGAAGGTGCCTGGACACCAATGATAGGACTCAACCAGCTCTCGAAGTCAGCTTCATTCGTAGGATCCCCAGTAACTTTCAACGCTCGCAAAAGTAGACGATAAGACCC